GTAGCCTCTTGGTCATTCATACAAAAAATTTGAAGCATGTAAAAGACTCATGGCAACAATCAAATGATTCAGAAGATGCATACCTGCCATCCAAAAATATGTAGTTGATAAAAATGTTCAGCCTGAGCCTGAGATATAGAGCAATTAAAGAACATGTGGGAACACTGGAACCAACAGCTTTGGCTTGTAACAAAGAAACTAAAGCTCTAGATGTGACTCAGCTCTGTTCATCCAGAAAAATATGCTACGGGAAAAAATAGAGAAGGAATTTAGGAACAATTTTAGGTACCTAAAGTATGATCTCACTGCACCCTAAACCAGCCTCTCTTTTATTAGAATCTCTCTTAGTTACACTGGCAAACAAAAGATCCAAAAGTTGATACGTTTTTTTTTTCTCACTAAATATTCATGACAAAAATCCAGTTCTGCCTAAATGTAACAGACTCATTTTCTTCTAAAATTTCAAAGCAAGATCCTCTATACCTAATTGCCAGTGTGCTCTTATGTAAGGTTCATGCAGCAGTCAAGAAGAAGCGAATTAGTAGCAGTATATAAAATACAAGACGAATGTCTGCAAGTGGCACATTGAAAGCCAGTGAAGAGGGAAGCCACAATAGGGATGAAGATACTGGAAAAAGTATCGGGGTGGGTGAGGAGGAAGGTCCCCTGGGCCTGAGGAAAGAGAGTGGGAAGGGAGTTCAAGGAGGAGGGCCACACCTGGTGGAGGGAAACGTGGTGTAGGACGATTAGGTATGGGATGATTGCTGGAGAAACAATGCAAGGAGACAGAGAGAATGAGCTAAAGACCTCTTATTTCTTGTGAGTGTGCCCGCACATGACACTCGGAGTAGTGCTGGTGACCAAGGTGCAACACACAAGCCAGGCGATGGCCTTAAGTCAGTGGAGAATGGGATCTAGCGTTGATCCTCTCTCCTTTCCCCTGTAAGCACCATCTATCAAGCATGCCTGTGAAGTCCTCAGGAACAGGACTCTGCTTCCTCTCCCCTGTTATTTGTGTTAGTTATCTTACTCTAGAGAAACAGAAGCAGGATATTCATTATGAGCAATTGGCTCCCGTCCAGTGTCTTATGAGCTTGAGAAACAGGCAACCAGAAGGCATCAGTCCCAGCCCAAGGACACTGAAGAAGAGCACATTAAATGTCCCAGGTCGCATAAGGGGGCATGAAACAAAAAGACGCGACCCTTTGCCTCATTTGCCTTTGTTCTCCTTAGGTCCTCAGCAGGCAGCACATGCCCAGGCACTCTGGGGAGAGCAGTGTACTGTACCGTAACCCACTAAATCAAGTGCTAAGTTCATCTTCAAGTACCTTCAGAGGTCCAAGAATAATACTGAATCTGGGCACTCCATGATTAGTGAAGCTGACACAGGCAGGTAGTGCTTCATCACTTCTATCCTCAACAAACCCTCAACTGTTGCTCACTAGATTAGCATAATCACTACCTGTAGTGTGACAAATGACCGCTTGCTTCACACACAGGACACTCCCAAGCCCTAAGAACAGTTTCAAGGAGTAGGTAGTATTGCAAAATTCAGTGTGGAATCTGTCTTAGTGGTTACATCAGTTTCTCTGCACCTCTTAATGTCCCGATTTTCCCGTAGAATAAAGTTCTAGAACCTCACCATGGACTGAAAGCTGATACTCTCAGGACTGCATTTGCCACCACACCTTGCCTACTGTGGTGTTGGCTTCAAAACTACAGCCACATTTTTAGGTCCTCAATATCCTGCAGATTTTCCTGCCTCCAGCCTCTACAAATCTGTCTCTCCTCTGTTCAGTATGTGATTGCTCCCGCTCTTAAAATCTCAGTGTCGGGGCCGGGGAGATGGCTCAGTGGAATAAGCGCTTCCCTGGCAAGTGCAAGGGCCTGAGTTCAACTCCCTGTTCAAAAAAAAAAAATCTCAGTGTCAATATCACCTTCTAAGGACATGTTTTTATTCCTCCAGATTAAGATTAGCTTTCTTTGTTGATGCCCACGTATGTGCCTCTCCATCGCAGTTATTGAATGAGGAATTTCTCTCTGACCTTTGAGAAAGAAGAGCAAAAGAAAGTTTAATGGATAGAGCAGGAAAAGTAGAGGAAATTATAGGAAACCAGAGAACAAGCTATGGGAAAACACATACCTCATACATGGTCTCTTCCCTGAGCCCTGTTAAGCAAGTTGTGATCCCCACTCAGTTTTGCATTAGCCAAGGAGAACACAGTAGTCATTGTCTGAAGTCCTTGCTCCAGAATCCAATCCAGGGGCATCTTAGAATCTGAGCTCTTCTCCCTAGTTCTCAGGAGTTGATCCCATTAGCTATAGCACAGAGGGAGACAACAGCCAGACATTTGCCAGAAGGAGTAAGATTTTCCAACCCTCCATTCTCATGATGTCAACCCTCTGTAGATGCCATGCAGAGAGCTTAAGAAGAAGGCTTGGACTAGATGAATTTTATATTTTATTTATTTTTAGTTTCATTTATGTATTTGGTGCAGGATGTCACTATGCATCTTGGACTGATAGTGAACCTCCTGTTTTCAGCCTTTCAAGCGCTGGGACTACATGCTGGTGCTGCTACTCCTGGACTCTATCACCAGCTCCGTGTGCCCCAGGGGCAGGGCCAGTACTTCATGTGGGACTGTGGATCGAACCCTGGTCCCTGTGCTAGCCAAATCAGGCACTTAGTCCACTGAGTATCTCGCTCTAAATTTTATATTTTACATAACTGATACAGGTTTAAAACCTCATATGCTTTTGCCTTATCTTCCTTATGATGTGTCAACTGTCACTCCTTCTACAGCTTCAGATCTGAAGAACACCTTATTACAGGAAACGATACAGATCTCAGGATGCAAAACGGGGAGAGAAGTCACTGCTGTCACCTCCCTGCAGAGCATTTGTGCTTTTGCTTTTCGCTTCTTCCAAAGGACAGCCCCATCACAATTAGGGCTTCATCAGTGGGGAACTTTCCTTCTTGATAGAAAATTTACCAAAAAATTCCACCCCTGAGAGTTCAGTTAGCTAGGAGGTAAAGTGCAGCAACGTGTATCCTTTTAAACCTGGCATCATGGCCTTGGAGCTGAGGAGGTAGCTATAGGGAGGGGGATTAAGCACAGGAGGCTTCCAACTCAGACAAACACGGACTCTCGCCCCGGTCACTGCTAACGAGTCCTATGGGATTCCTTATTTACTCTTGCTGAGCCCAGTTTGTGCACCTTTCAAATGGACAGTATGATACAGCGCAGCACCCTGTGCAGTATTTACAAGGTATGCACATACGTGCTCAGCTCACTGTCTGGCAGGGTGAAGCACGGTAAACTGTGGGCTGTTTTTTTTTTTTATGCATTTTAAAGTATTATTCTTTGACCCATTAATTAACTTCTAGTGATCCACTCTAAAGGGAAGAAAACATCTAAGTAGCTCTAATGAATGATCCATGCAAACATATGCTCGTAGCAACATGATTAATGAGTGAATCTTTAGTAGAGCAGGAGCTCTGGTGGGAGTCTGTATAATAGTCGTGTGTTTTTAGGAACACAACACTATCATAAATAAATACGGTTGGAACCTAGGGAAAGGGGTTTTGGATCTAATTTTCTCTAGGACTTGCACATATTCTGCACTGGGATGTAACTCTGCCTCTTAGCCAGCTGAGTGGAATTACATTCAGGCTGCTAGTCAAGCCAGCAAGCTTTCCTGTGCCTATCTGCGTAAGTGGGGAATGGGCCCACCAATGAGCTACACCAGCATGCGTGAAAGTCTGTTTTGTGACTTCAAAAAGAAACCTTTACAGGCAACGTGGCTTGTGTGTGGCTGTTGGTGTGAACTTCAGTAAGCTCACTGCAGCCTTGTGAAAGAGAATGTTTGCTGCCTAGAAAAGACAGAGATGGAAAAGGAGCCATTGTTGGTTGCACAATTTGTAGTACACACCCCACAGAGCTTTCATAATACAACACCAATCCGGCACTAGTGCAGGACTCCAGACTTTCTCCTTCCACCTGCCTGGAATCAATCCCAGCATGCGGCTCAGTGGATGGAGCTCACAGATCCATTTCTCTTGTTCCCCATAGATTTTTAGTATTGAGACTTACTCTGTCATCCTCAACAAAATTTGGACCTAGTCTTCCTCGACTTATGCACAGAAAAATCTATTCAGTGTTCTTCCTGGTTCTGTTCTAGACATCCCGGCATTCCCCACATTTGGCCCTCCCACCCCTCCCACGCTGTGTTCTGCCAATGTTCTTATTAAACTGGCCTCGACCACTGCCATGCCACAGCATCTCTGTCTGCGTAACACCCGTGGAGCCAGCATCACAGGGCTGTCCAACTCTGCTTCCGCTTGCCTTTCCCCACAGCCTTCGGGGCTCTTCTCAACCCCGCCCACTGTGTAGAACGCCAAGCTCCCTGTCACCTTCCACCAATACCACTACACCTTTCTCCCCAAGATTTTGCACACAGCGTGCATTGGTGTGACAATGTCACCCTGCTCACCCTCACTCCTTTACGATCTTTTTCTGCCCCAGCTTCTCCTCCATGTGAAAACACGCTGTCTAATGGGCTCTTTGAGCAGCTCATATATGAGTTACAGACTCTTACATAGCACTCCACACCATACCGAAGCTTTTCTGTGTGTGTCTCTTTAAAGCTACCCCAGAACTTGACACTTGGTTGCCTTGGTGTGTGAATTTATGCAGTGAGTGAATGTAGTCATTTTCATGTTTTGGGTTCCCTAGAAAATGTTGCTGCTTCTGTCCCTCTCCCTTCCTAAAGGCTCAGATGGCCCTCTTTAGAGATATCCTAATGACCCTTACATCTGGAGCAGAGAACATTCTAGCTCTTGTACCTGGCCAAAGCTCACATAGTGTTTTTTTAAGATCCTGCAACTGAATGTGGAATGATCCTGAAATTAAGGTCAGCTCCAGGTGGTTGTTTATATCAGCTGTCAGACTGCAGAATAAAAAATGGCTTTTATATGTTTGATTTTTATTGTTTTCCAGGGCAATGTCACATTTTCCTGCTCTGAACCACAAATTGTTCCCATCACATTTGTCAACTCCAGCAGCAGTTATTTGCTGCTGCCCGGCACCCCCCAAATTGATGGGCTCTCTGTGAGCTTCCAGTTTCGGACCTGGAACAAGGACGGTCTGCTTCTGTCCACAGAGCTGTCGGAGGGCTTGGGGGCCCTGCTGCTGAGCCTGGAAGGCGGAGTCCTGAGGCTTGTGATCCGGAAAATGGCAGAACGTGCGGCCGAGATCCTCACAGGTACCATCTGCCGACTCCTCTGAGCCCGTTTCTCTTTATCCTTTCATTTTCCTTTGGGGAACTTTCTTACTCATTCAAGCAACCAAAGTTGAAATTCTAAACAAGCAAACGGACAGACATATAGTACAACTCCCAGAGATGTAGGATGGCCCAGGATTGGCAAAAAAACTCCCAGTCTGAGGAGCCAGCATTCCCTCCTAATGAGGAAGAAAACAGTATCAGTGAGTTCAGAAAGGTCCTCTAATGGCTGTGTTGCTCAGCAGTGTCACACTCAGTGCAGTAGAGCCTGCCTAGGGATGCTCAGTAGGTCCTACCTGCAGGCAGTGAGGGTCCACTGTGCCGCTCATCAGGCTCTCGCAAGGGAGGGGCTCATTTCTACTTTAGATGAGAAAATTAAGAGTTGGGTTAATAGCATCTAAATAATGTGCTACAAGATGATGTAACTGATATTCTGTTTGGACACTGTCTGGCTTCCAAGTCTCTATTTTCCTTTAAAACATATCATCACAGAATTTGTACTTGCCCCAATTTCTGTTTCTAGTCTAAAAACTAGTGAACTTTTAAAATGAGTTTTAAGGGCCAGTGAGATAGATCCATAGACCAACTGCCTGCTTAGGCAAGCGCAGGGACCGGGGTTCGATCCCAAGCACCACATGCTGTGCTGGCCCTCACTTCATGTGCTTTGAGCCCCCCACATAGACCAGGCATGGTGATGAACACCTGTAATCGCAGTGCTGGGGAGGCTGAAAACAAGAGGATCACTATGAGTCCGAGCTGCGAAATGAGACCCTGTACCAAATAAAATAATGTAACTGAAATAAAATGAAATCGGTGTTAAAAGTGCTTTTGAGGTACTGTGTAAAGGCTAGTACCTATGGCACCTAGCTGTGCCATGTTGCTGTAAAGGGTCCCCAAGTAGCTAAAGTCTCACAAGTCTGAGCACGGAATGCGGTAGAGCCTGGACTTCAGTGCTAGGAAAGTGGCACAGACCTAGAGCTACGATGCTTCTCAGCTCCCGGGTCCCAGCAGGCTGCCCACTGGCAAGGAGGGTCCTCTCCCTCTGCTTCCTCCCAGATGCTCCTGTCCTGCAGGCAGCAGGCCTGCTTGGTTGACAAACACTCACTGTTGCCAGACAGATCACCAGCCAGGCCTTGGGAAGAGGTGCAAACCTACAGGGCCTCCCCTTGAATTTTCAGTCTGAACCAGATCCCCCTTTGCTATCCACGCTGGGGCCATACCCTTCAAACATTTCAGACACTTTTCTTTAATTATCAGGTCTTCCTTTCCCTATGGGTCCCTCAGGTTCATTATACAAGCACAGGAGAGATTAAGTTAAACATTAATTTAAACATAAATTAACAGTTGCGTTCTGATCAGGCTGTGGGCCAGTCTCAGAGGCCAATCATAGAATCAAAAGTCCTGAGACTACATCTGCTTCCTGTGCTCTGGCTAGGATGAACTCTGGAGCTTTGTCTCCTACGTCTACTGGAGCGTATTCATTAACAATTTCTGGGGAATACCGAAACTCAGTGGTTAAACAATACTTTTTCTGTATCAATTTCTGTGAGTCAGGAATCCAGAGCTGCCTCGGTTGTGGCTCAAGGTTTCTTAAGAGTGCAATCAAATTATTGATCAGCGAGCAAGGGGGAGACTTACCACAAGGGGGTGACTTCAGTGGAGGAAGTTGTGCTGGCAGTGGTTGTTGACAGGCCTGTTTATCCTGACGGGCTCACAGCAGACTGTCAGCAGACAGCAGAAATGAACGTGCAAGACAGAGTTACAATCTTCTTATAACCTTGGACTGAGAAATGGTGCCACTTTTGCTATATTCTATTCACTAGAAGCATGGAAATAAGGTGAGCCCATGTAAAAGTGGAGGGATTACACAGGGACACGAAGAGTAGGGCTATGAATCAGTGAGATGAGGTGAGGGATTGTCAGTCATAAGAGAGAGAGAGAGAGAGAGAGAGAGAGAGAGAGAGAGAGAGAGAGACAGACACAGACACAGACACAGGGAGATGGAGACACAGAGAGGCTGTACAAGACTGTGATGTCATTAAATGAGACAATGGATCACCGATACATTGTAGAGTGTCAACAAGCTGTTCACAAATCCCCCTTCCTTCTTTCCTGATGAGTCAGGGCCTACGGTTAGAAGGGGCTCATTCCACAAAGCCAAGAGAGCTAAGGATGAATTTGTAGAGTCAGAAGCGTTTTATAAAATTTACTAGATTTCAGTAATGGGAATGAGTTACTCAGAATTATAATATTTTTCATGTTCACAGTTATGAAAGTCAAACCTCAATCCTTATTTGGAGAAGAAAAATGTGAGCTGGCACCAGGCTGCTTCTCTCTAGTCGGTGAAATGTTTGAGTACAGAGACTTGTAGGCCTCAGGTCAAAAATGCAGTTTTAATGTAGTACAGGCCCTAGTGATGGGTTGCTCTGAAGAATTCAGGTGCCGCCTGTGTTATTAAGCACATGTCAGGCCATTAAAACGCCTTTATGACTGAAAGGGAGGCTGCTGGAAGCTGCCACTTTGCTACACAGGCAAGGGGACAGTCATCAGCTAGTAGACCTGTCTCTCAAATATTGAAACAAGTAAAGGGAAATTTTTAAAATGTGCTGCCTGAGTTCCAGAAGTGAGCCTCAGAAAACTCTTACATAATTCGTGCCCTGGGGAAGCTTTTTCTGCATTTTGACACATCTGAGTTTCTTAATTTGTACTTCCAGTGGATCAAGATTTTGTGTTTTCTGGCATTTTCTGCCATGAAGGGAGGGAACAGCATCAGAAAGAATCAGTTTTGTCTTCCTTTCCAATTTTAAAGAAGCTTGTTTTGAAACGATCTGAGATCTCATAGGCTTTAAGAAAGACGAAACTCCCATATGAACCATAAAAAATAATAGCGGTTACCCGGGTCACTTGTGAGGGCCAGCCGGGCTCCCCGTGACATGTGTGCGACACAGAGCCGAACAGAGCAGCGCATTCGGGCCGCGTCTCGGAGAATGCACACGTTCAGAGCCTGACTGCGAACCGGCCCAGGCGTCCGCAGTGTTGTTGCTCGGAAAGCCCACGTTACTTCCTGGGGAGGGACAGCAGGAGGAGTGCAGAGCGCGCAGCCTGGGCGAGCCTCTCGGAAGCGCTGATCGGGTTGTCGAATTAGGGCTGAGGAAGAGACTTGCAAAAATATACCTCCTCAAAATAGAAAGCAGCTACATCCAGCTCTTCTAGGGGATGAATTTCAGGAAAATAAAGGACAATGGTGTAGTCTTCCACTTGTGTATTTGCGTGTTTTCTAGTTTTGCCTTTTCACATTTTATTTATTTATTTTTTTGTGGAACTGGGGATTGAACTGAGGCCCTTGCGCTTGCCAGGCCCTTTTCACATTTTAAAAGTCTCGCACGTATGTAAGGAAAGACCAAGGCCTCTGTTTTACATCAAGTGACGCTGAAGTGGAGCTAACACCCAAGGCCTGGTCTCTGCTGGCCAGGGCCTGCACCAGGTCCTTACTGCACTGCCCTCAGAGCAGGCTCTGTAGGGACGCGTGCAGTGGGCTGGTGCCCTGCACCCACGGTGAGGGAGCTGGAGAGCCACAGATACACGAAGGGAATCCTGATGCACCCGCTGAAGGCCTTTCCTGTGAATCCCAACTCACGCTCTTCACTCTGTGTCCTGTGGCCATCCAGTTCCATTCTTCCTCAGCGCCTAGCCATACGGAGAGGGGCCCTGCTGGAGATGACCGTGACCACTGTGCAGACAAATGTGAAGCCAGCTATCTACTAAGGCGCTGAGCTGTTCAGCATCTACCACTGGGCCTTTCCAAATCTTTTACCTGGTAGCCTCAGTCTTGGGTGAGGTAGAAAGTGTACAAGGTGGGGAGTTCATTGTGTTTATGGACCGCTGTGCCCTTCTGCTAAGGATGCTGTCTAATGTAAAATAAATGTTGCATATTTATGCATTAACATATGCAAATATTTTCTTATATGCACAGTGTGTGGTTTTATCATATTTTTGATTTTGATATGGATTCTGCCCAAGGATTATTGTCTCATCTGAGATAGGGGTTAGTCCTCCTGGATGGCCCGATGCCTGTCTCTGTAGGGCTTGGTGCGCTTCCAGGACTCAGCCCAGCCGCTCGGCCGTTGCCATTCTGGCTGCCTCCTGCACCTCATCTCAGGTTCCAATCCTGGCGCTGCAGCAGAATAGAGAATTCTTTTAAGGAATCTTGCTCTGCACTGAAACTTATCATTTGCCCTTTCAGGAATTGGAAGCTTAATTTTTTTTGGGGGGGCAGAGGGACAAGGTCTTATGAAATAATTCAGACTGGCTTGAACTTACTATGTAAGCCAGACTAGCCTCAGATTCACAGCAATCCTCATGCCTCAGCCTAACAAGTGTTGAGGTTGCAGGCATGTCCCATTATTTAGGTGAACAATAAATGAGATATTTGAAAAGCAATTGGACTTCTTGCTTTATGCATTTCAAACTCAAAATCTCTCTCACAATGGTCATGTGATCCTAGGGATCCTCTGTAATGTATGTAACGTATTAAGGTTCTTAAAATGTGAAGAACAGAGATCTGAATCACTAAGCAAGAAGGACAGATTTAAAGATGACAGGGCCCATCAGCTTCAGTTACCTAGGAAAAGGATGGAAAAATAGTTGGAGCATTACACAAAATAGGATATTACCTAAAAAGAAAATGAGTACTCCCATAATTATTTTGAAAGTTATTTGACATTTCCTTTCATTTTTTTCTGATGGGATGAAGCAAAGCAGAAAGAATATGGAAAAGAAATTGTGGGCCTTCAGCCTAATTTTATTTTTATTATAATGCTTCTCTAAATGTTACCTCCTCACTAAAGATAGAATCTGAATATGAAGCTAAGTTGCAGAACACGAGTAAGCCTTGTTGCCCTGGACATCACGGCCCTTCTGCTAAATAGAGGGCTGGTGGGGAATCACTCAAGCCACCTCAGCTCATCCCATTAGGTTCTTGA